CGCTAGGGACTGCGGGACTCGGGCTTGGTGCGGAGTGCGAGAGCGCTGGGACGTGCGGACTCGGGAGTCAGCCTTTGGGCTGGAGACACGGAAGCGGGCAGCTACAGTGGGTTACGTTGTTGCACGGAGCGAGTAGAACGTATCCCTCGCTGCGTCCAAAATCTGGTTCCTTGTTGGATTTGAACAGATTATGTGGCTCGTCGGGGCGAACTGAGGGTTTTTATTTACTTGGAAAGAATCATCACAGTCCGCGAATTAACAAGCTGGATTTAGCCATTTTCCCTTAGTTCCTCTGAGCCATGAGCCTATGGCTGTTGAATACGAGAGAAGTGCTTTTCTAAACGAGTTTCTAAATTTACCAAGTGTCCAGGAAGAGGCCCAGAGCATACATATTCAGCACCAGAAAAGACTGGCACGCAATTTTTCTTGACAAACTGGGTCTTGCTCCTTGAAGGGTGGGTGGGAATGTGCTTTCTGTTTTTATGAGAATGTCAAAGAACTTCTCAGAATCACATTAAGCATGCTAATTACCAAATATTAAATGCTAATTGTTCTACACGCAGTTCGAATGCCAAGGAAGATGAAACTGGTATAAGCTACTCTTGACATTATGTCAGGGATGGTTTTGACACGTTTTGCAGCCTCCGCCTGGAGGTGGGGAACGTTTCCTGTGTCGTCCCCAGAGCTGAATAAGTGTTGTTTATCGGTGAGAGCAAGCCTCAAGCCTAGGCAACAATGTGCCTTGCTTGCCTTTAAGCCCCTTCTAAAGGGGAGGTAAACTAAGACCGATAAAGAATTGCTAGGTGCCTGGGCGCGATGGTTCACCCCGGTAATCCCAGCACTTTGGGAGGCCGAAGCGGGCAGATCACGGGGTCAAGAGATCAAGACGATCCTGGCTAACATGGTGAAACCCCGTCTCTACTAAAAATACAAAAGTTAGTTGGGCGTGGTAGTGCGCGCCTGTAGTCCCAGCTACTCGGGACGCTGAGGCAGGAACATCGCTTGAACCCGGGAGGTGGAGGTTGCAGTGAGCCGATATTGCGCCACTGCACTCCAGCCTAGCCTGGCGACAGAGCGAGACTCCGTCTTTTTTTTTTTTTTTGAGACGGAGTCT